GAGTACCAGGAGAGAACCCACGCATGCACTGAGAGAACATGCAAACTCTACCCAGAAAGGTCCCCGAACTGTGATTTGAACCGGTCACCTTCTTGCTGCATCAGCTCTACCAACTGAGCCACCGTGCCGCCGTTGTTGTAACTCATTTAACTAAAAACTTATTGTAGATGCTGATGGCTGTGGGCAGGAAAGATCTTCTGTAGCGGTCTGTATTACAGCGAAGTTGAAGAAGCCTCCGACTGAAGACACTTTGTCTTTCTATGACAGTCTGATGAAGAGGATGGTCAGGGTTGTCCACAATGTTCTTGATTTTATGTAAAATCTACTCCAATTTATATATTTTTTCCTACCAATCTGACAGATTTCCCCCTACAATGTTTGTTAATTAAAGGGATTATATTTACATGATTTCAGCTCATGTAGTCATTTGTCTGTGAATGGATGAATGTGTGTAAAGCAGGTGAGAGGTAGATGAGTGTTCAGTACGAGTTCAGACCATTAACCCTTTCATTTCTACAAATGATGGACATTCATCGCTGCAGAAAACTTTAATCTGGGTCTTTTTTCTTGGTTGTTCACAGGATCTTTGTGTTGTATTGGACAACCTACAAATGTTGACCCTGGTTAGCTGAAGTGCTAAGCTAACATTAGCCTAAACTACCTCGTCGCTCTGACCCTCTGTCCTTACAGGCTGTCTCAGGGAGCTCACTCACTGGTTTTCTTATAACTGAGCAGCTAACCAGTCATCCTGTGGACAGTACCAGAACAACTCTCTGGTTTCTCCTCAGTCTGGGTGTCCTCCTCCACTGTTCTTCTCTTTCCACCTACAGATCATTACCTGAGTCTATCCTTCTCTCTCCACAGTCACCAGACACCAAACCTGCTCATATCTACCTGAGCGTCACGTCTCCATGTCCTCCTCCTGCTCCTCCTCACCATGAGGAGGAGCAGACTCTGGAACTAAAGTCTTACTGTTGGCCTGTTGTTTCAGCTGTGTGATGGTTTGTTTTTAAATTAAACCCACTATAAAGATCATGACATGTAATAAACTSTGTGTTTGGTTCATACTGGCTAACAGACAGAGTGAGGGATGACTGGTWTATAAAATGTAAAACTGTCAGAAAGCTGTGGAGCTGTAGCAACACAAGACAAAGTGTCTCATCTCACAGGTTTGATGTGAGCAGAACTGAAGATCATTTAACAGTTTAACATCAAAATAAACTTAGACATTCAGTTTAATCACTTTTTAATTGACTACTTGATAATTTAATGTGCAGCGTGTCTTGTTGTCGGTCTGTAAAACCAGCACACATCACTGGTAAAGTCTACAGATGACTGTTTTCTGCTTCTCTGATGTGTTTTTGTTCAGTCTGTGGGAGAAAACACTGGATGAACTGAAACGTTGCAGTGCAGCAGGACTTTKATCAGATTTATTACAGGAAGGTTTTGTAACTTTTGACAGCTTTAACATGATTTTGATKTACAGAATTGTTGGCATTTACCAGTAAAATAAAGATATTCATACTGAGTTTCATTTTTCATCTGTTCTGAATCACATGAACTGACCAAGCCTCGTGATATTCAAACATTTATTTATTTTAGGTCCTACCAGTACCTACTTTACTAAACTTCAGCCCCTGTAGTTAGCATGTAGGGCTGGATGACACAGCTAACATTTATATTACCAGAGGTGCACATAAGAGGTGTGCAGGTACACATGCGCCGTCAAAAAAGGAAAAAGC